TAGGGCGGTGAGGGCGGCGGCAGTGCAGGTGGCGGTGGCGGCGGCGGGGAGGCAGAAGCCGTCGCCCGCACCACAGACAGGAGCAGTCACACCACCACTCCCACTCTAAAGAAAGAAAACACTCGCAAACGAGGAATGGGAGGAGGACAGGGTCCCCACCTGCACGCGAGCCGGGTAGCAGGAGCAGCCTGCGCGCCGCCGTCGCAGACTTTTTTTTCTCTTGTGCACCGCCTTCTTCGGCTTGTCGATGACCAGGCGGTGGCGATTGCGGCGACAAAAGTTCAGTCGCACAGCGGAGAGGCTTCAGCAGCCGCGGGGGCCACGGTGGATGGACGGGGAGAGGACGACGAGACAAGATGACTCCGACGGCGGCTTCGACAGCTTCCTTCTCGCAGAGGCGAAGAAGCTGCCGCGCCGGCCGGCGCCGCCGGGCGGTGAGAGACGCGTGCGCGGTTACGTGCTCCGGCTGACGGCCTTGACCGCCCTGTACGCGTATGGACTCGCCTCTGGCAACCAGCTCGCCTGGGTCGCGGCGAGCGTGGCGGTGCTGCCGTGCCTGTACCTGGGCGTGGCGACGGGGAGGGAAATGGAGTATTGGGCATCGGGCCGTAAACTGGACTGAGCGCGCGTTCGTTTAGATAGACATAGAGCGAAAAGACAGCCCGAGAACACTCCGAGCGGCGCCCTCATACGGCTCACATGTACATGTACGCACAAGTAACACTGACGCTCGACTGGACACCGGCGCGTCCCCGCGTGTGTGTGTGTGTGTGCGCGCGGGTGTGTTGCAAGGATCAAGGTTGGACCTCTCAGGCGCCTCGGGGCAAAATAGCGCAGCGTTAGCTCCAAAAAAACGATATAAGCCTCCGCGCTTACGCCACGCGGGGTCGCGGACAGTGCAGCGGCGCGCCGAACTGAGCTCCGCTTCTCGAGCTCTCCGCGTCACACTCACACACGCTCTCATGTAGCCGATCGTCACGTCTCGACGCCCACGAGAGTGACGTAGCTCGACAGCGGCGCGAGCACGACGCCGAGTCCAATCATCAGCCTACGTGCTGAATACGCCAACCTCAGGGCGGGAAGACGGTTTTGTGTGCAGCGTATTCAGAGCACCGCGTGAATACAACGGAGGAGAATACAGTGCACACAGCGGAATACGGCCGAGTACAGCGGAGTACGTGCCCTCTCGAGCGCTGGTTGGGAGACAAGAGTCCGTCTTCCGCTTCTAGGATCATCAGCCCGGCGCCCGCCCGCTTGAGGCGGGTCGGGTCCGCCTGTTCACAGCAGTGGGTGTGAAGAGACGCTGTTCACAACTCTCGCTTGAGGCGGGTCGGGTCCGCCTGTTCACAGCAGTGGGTGTGAAGAGACGCTGTTCACAACTCTCGCTTGAGGCGGGTCGGGTCCGCCTGTTCACAGCAGTGGGTGTGAAGAGACGCTGTTCACAACTCTCGCTTGAGGCGGGTCGGGTCCGCCTGTGCAAGGTCAGGTGACGTAAGGTAACTAAGGTGCGCTTGTGGGCCATGTGTGACGTGAGTGGCGTGCGGTGGGCGGTGCATCGGCAGCCGAAGGCCTAGGTCTCCTCCCACCGCACGCATGGCGATACCAGAGCACAGCCGGGGATGACGATTGCAGACTCCACACACACACACACACACACACACACACACACACACACACACTCCACTCTCCCCTCTCAGGCTGCCGGAGAGCGGGCAGCTAAGCAGTGCCACACACCGGGTCACTCACGCAAAGCGACGCGCCGCCTCCGCCGCCGCCGCCGCCGCCCTCGCCGCCACGGGCATTGCTGCCGTTGCCGCCGCCGCCGCCGCCGCCGCCGCCGCCGCCGCCCTCGCCGCCCTCGCCGCCCTCGCCGCCGCCGCAAGCCGGCGACGCGCCCAGTCTTCTCGCGCCGCCAACCATCAGGCTCGCCCGGCGCAAGCCTTTCCCGCGCGGCAGCTCCTATTCACAGCTTCCTGTTCACAGCTCCCTATTCACAGCTCCTATTCACAGCTCCTATTCACAGCTCCTATTCACAGCTCCTATTCACAGCTCCTATTCACAGCTCCTATTCACAGCTGGGGACGGCTGGTGTTCTCTTTTTGGGGGGGGGGGGGGCTCTCTTTTGTCCCCGCGCGGCAGCTGCTCCCACTCACAGCTTCCTCGCACCTCGTTCACAGCTCGCGCTCTGTGCGCGGCCCTTGGCACTGTTTCGATCGAGTCTGTCGATTGCCGCCGCATCTCGGCGATATCTCCGCCACATCGCGGCGATATCTCCGCCACATCGCGGCGATATCTCCGCCACGTCTCGGCTATCAGCTCCCTCGACGCGCGGCTCGATCCGACGCCGCATGCGCCGCGCGAGAGGAGGTGCAGCAGCGAGTCGCAGCAGTACGGCACCTAGTCGGTGGTAGTTGCTGGTCGACGGAGCGAGAGGAGGTGCAGCAGCGAGTCGCAGCAGTACGGCACCTAGTCGGTGGTAGTTGCTGGTCGACGGAGCGAGAGGAGGTGCAGCAGCGAGTCGCAGCAGTACGGCACCTAGTCGGTGGTAGTTGCTGGTCGATGGAGCGAGAGGAGGTGCAGCAGCGAGTCGCAGCAGTACGGCACCGGGTACGAGACGACGGGGTAGGAGAGGAGGACGACGTAGGTGAGTGCGAGGCGGGCGAGCGAGAGGAGCGGCGTGTCGGGGTAGGAGAGGAGCAGGTCCGAGCAGACGGCGTCGCCAAAGGTGTAGTACCCCGCGGAGGCGAGGATGCCTGTCCTCGCAGCCGGGGGGTGAGGCGCGCGTGTTTCGTTTTTGCCCGCGTGTGTACTGCGGGGGGCGAGGCAGGCCGAAGATGGTCGCGGACAGGCAGACCGAGCCTGCGATCACGCCGAGCATGCGCGCGCGGGTGGGCGAGCGCAGCTCCGACGAGACCGCGACGACGTTCGGCTGGGAGGCGAAGGCGAAGGCAAAGGTGGTGAGGGCGGAGAGAGTCCTCCCTGCCGAGGTGACGCTGACGCGGTGACCCAAGCAGCGCGAGTTGCCGGCCTCGCACCCTTCGTGGGCGTCGAATCCCGCCGCGCCGGCCGAGAAGAGCAGCACCGTCGCCCCGATGGCAACCGCGCAGACCAGCACGAGGAAGGAGGCGAAGCGGAGCGAGTCGATGTCTCGCATGCACGAGAGCGGCGCAACCACAACCAGCGCGCTCCCAACGATCCACGTCTCGCGCCGCAGCCACAGGCTCTCGTCCGGGAGGGCGCTGTCGTCGAGCGCGCGCACCACGTCCGGCAGCGAGTCGCCCGCCACGATCAGGTAGCCGATGGCGCACGAGGCACAGAAGCTCGCCACGGCGACATCGACCAGCGCCCGGCCGAGAGGACCAAAGGCGGCCGAGGTGATGCACGAGAGGGTGGCCGGACGGCCGACGTGGTCGACGCAGTCGACCAGCAGCGAAGAGGCGAACGCCGACGCCAGCGCAGCAAACGCAAGCAGTGATAAGCCGCCGACCCAACCCGCCGACGCCAGCGCCGCCGGCATGGCCAGCATGCCGACGCCGACGTTGGTGTTGGTGAGGTTGGCGATGCTCGAGGCGAGCGTGGCGCCTGAAGCCTCGGCGATCAGTGGCGAGCCGGCCCTAGACGTCGCCCTCCGAACGTGGAGGTCCGTCTCCATGCTGCGCTTCCGTCGAAAAGAAGAATTCTTAAGCGGAGCCTCTCTCACAGCACACTGGCACGACAAGGGCGCAGACTGGCGCGGACTGGCACACACACAGGCTCACCACCGGAGCCGCCTAAGCGACTCCGTTAAGAACGGCAATGCACTCCGCACCATGCACAATGCCGCTCTCCCCGCACGCTAGCTCGTTCACCGTCTGCCACGCCACGGCGGTGTGGAGGACGACAGACAAGCGCTGCATCTGCAGCCCGTGCCAGTTCTTGGTGGTCCATGTGACCTCGTCCAGGTGCTGAGCGTGCGAAAGTTTGTTGCTCAGCTGGTTCGCCGCCTCCCTCAGGGTGCTGCGAACCTCCTTTCCAAAGCCTCCGAAAGCCTCAAAATCAAACAAACGTAGATCGCAATCCTGCTGCCGCGCAAAGGGGTAATCGCCAGGCGAAAAGAAGAATTTCTGCCTGGCACCTGGCCTTTTTTGTAGTGCCAGTCCCGTGCCTAGAGTCGACACCGCTCAAATCTTTTGTTTCCACGGCTTGCTCCCCAATCGCTGGACCCGGGTCGTCCGACTGCTGCTCGGTCGCTGTCCGGCTGCGACATGCCCGACCCGCCAGCTGCTGTAGGTATATTGTTGGCAAGTCAGGACACGCCAGCTGCTGCTCGGTCGCTGTCCGGCTCCGACTTGCCCGAGTTGCCCCTTCTCCGACTGCCCCTGCCAGTTCGCAGCCCCTCGGCGATCGCTGCAGTGCTGGCGTACGTCGAGCAGGCCCGGCAAGATGCCGCCGCCGTTCTTTTCCAAGCGGCGTCACGGGCGCGATCAGGTCGGCGCAGTTTTGTGTCCCAACGGGATTCGGCAATCACGTTGCAGAGTGCCTTCCGCGGTGCACACGCCGCGGCAGGGTACACAGGGGTATACCAGCTGCGACATTAGTTTTGATCTCTGTCACAGGCAATTCGTGCCGGCGGCTGGAACTAGCCCAAGTAGTGACGTAGCTCACTCAAGCAAGCAAAGAGAGAGAGAGTCAAGTTGAGTTCTAAAGCTAGTTGGTTTTCTCCACAAAGCATGTGATTTGTGAATAACTGGACACCCTCGCCCCCCGCTCGATAAAAAGAGAATTTACATGAAAACGGAACCAAGAAAAGAAATCGACTACAACGCGTGGCCAAAGATGGGCGGCGAGATGCCGCGGGCGCCTCGAGAGCAGTACGAGTAGGGACGGGCGAGGGAGGAGGGGCGCTAACCACGGGCGACTACAAGTCGAAGGTTCGAGGACGACTACTCACCGCCTGGGTCGTTTGGGGCGCGCGGCTCCGTCGAGGACCGGGCGCGCCCCTTACCCGGCGCGGCGTAGGTCCCACTCTGACGTATAGAGGGGAGGCACGGACAACAGCCCAATCCATCAATTCCACTCGTCTTCTGGTGCCTAGCCCCGTGCAGCGGCGGTCCGGCAGGCTGCCCCCAAGGCCCCCTGGGCCGCTGCGGGTTTTGGAGTTATGCTTTGGCACAGCTTCGGCGATGGCGGCCCCTCTCTGGGGCTTGCATAGGCGGGGAGTCTCCCCCGCTGGTCTCCTCGTTCCCTTTTTTCTTTTTCTTTTGAGAGCAGGACGCCGGGTTTGTCTTGTATGTGCGTGTCGGGCCGGGGTGTGGGCGAGGGGCAGAAGGGGCGGGGGCGTGCGGGGCAGAGTGCGTGTCGGGCCGGGGTGTGAGCGAGGGGCGGGGGCGTGCGGGGCAGAGGCCCAACGTCGGGCGGCTTGTCGGGGTCCGGGGCATTCGAGGGGGGAACGAGGAGGGGGGAATGGGCGGTCGGCGACGAGTAGAGCGGCAGGCGCGTACGGGGTAGCCGTCACTTTCCTGCCTCACAAGGGCGGGGCTGTCCCGGAAAGTGAGAGACGCCGGGCAGCGTGGCGCATTACTGAACCCTCCCATACGTGCTCGTGCTCCTCCTTCGCTGTCCCATCTCCCCACCTCTTTCCCGCCTGGGCGGGGCGGTGGGCGGGCGCGCGGTGCGGCGTGGCGTGTGCGTGTGTGCGACTGCAACGAAGGACCGCTCGCAGAGGACCATTGGGTTTGTACTATTAACAACGAAGGCGCTCTCAAAAAAAAAAAAGAAAAGAAATCGCTCGCTGGACGTCTGGCGGACGTCCGAGTTACGGGTCCAGTCAGCGTTGTGCTGCGGTCGACCGCGGCCTGTACGGGCATTGGCCGGGCACATGCAATTCGATAGCTCCACTGCCTCGCGCGCATTCGCGTTCGCCATCGCCGCATACAACGCCCCGCGCGTGCCACCCCGCAACCTCCGGCAGGCGCGGTTCGGCGGTGCACGCGTCATCTACTTGGATGCACCAGAGGCAGCGCCGGCGTCTTATGATGCAACGCTGCAGGCGGGTTACATGCCGCTCGCATTCATTGACGCTCCTGACACGGGCACGCAGGCCGAGTTGTGGGTGTCCTGCGATGAGGGCGAGGGCAGAGAGCAGAAGAGGGTGCTCGCGTTCCGAGGCACCGACTTTGATCGAGTGCAGGACCTCTTCACCGATTTGTTTGTGCGGCAGAGGCAGCTTCCTTCTGCCGCCACGTTCGCCACTTGCCCTGCCGTGGCGCCATACGCGCACGCGGGCTTTTTCCGCGCGTGGCTGAGCGTGCGCGACGCCACGCACGCCCTGTTAGAGGAGACCGGCGACGGAGCGCTGCTGATCACTGGCCACAGCCTCGGCGGCGCTCTGGCCATGCTAGCGGCGCGAGACTTGGGCCCCGCGCTGGCTTCCAAGGTGAAGAGTAGACGCCCTCCTCAACACACGCGCCTGCTCATGTGACCCTATCCTTGACCGCTCGTCGAGATGTCAATCTACACTTTCGGCAACCCGCGCGTTGGCGATGCTGCGCTGGCGGAGGACACCGATGCCGCTACTCGTGAGTGTGAGGGGCCCTTCCGGTGCATCGTGGAGGTGCGAACGCCCGTTCTCGCATTCACTCGTTCACTCACTCGCGCGTTTGCTCCATCATCGGCTCCCTCCCCCGTCAGGACGATGTCGTGGCGCGGCTGCCACGAGGCAAGCAGGCCAACCGCATTTACGACTATCGTCATGCGGGAACCACCGCCCTCCTCGAGGGCGGCTCCGTGCGGCTAGCGAAGGCGGACGGGGAGGACTGTCCGCTGGCGGAAGTCGACCCGCTGTACGAAGGGGTCTTCCCTCCGATTCTCAACTTTGGCGCCTTGCGCCGCTCCAACCTGGCCGAGTTTGTTCGCGCGGAGGCGACCAAAACCGATGAGGCCTGCGCATACAGCCTTCCGTCGCACCCCCACATCCCCTCCGGTCCGCCACCGTTCGCAGGCCGCGGAGATCGGGCGCCTCGTGCGCGGCCGCCTCGTGGTCGCGCATCTGAGCAAGAGCTACCAAGGCGCGCTGAGCAAGTTGGGCGGCGGGGAGTCATAGAGCTACGGTAGCAGCTAGAGACTCCGTTCAGCGGACACACACGCAGCGACAACGTACCCAACTGTCGTGTGTCGACTCGCAACACTCTGTGCCTTTCCCGGCTGTCGCTGTCCGCTCGCGTCTTCTCGGGTCTCGGCGTCTCGCGACGGCTCGTGCGAAGTCCTCGAAGTCGAACGTGGGGAGACCCCCAGACCCCTTGCCCTTCCCGCTTCCGCCCTCGACCCCTCGAGGCCTCGAGCTCCCTCGAGCTCGACCCCTAGCCTAGCCCTCGCGCGGTGGGAGCTCCTCGTACCTCGACGCCTGTGGTCGTGTCCCCACATGCTTCATGACACTGAAGGGTATTATCTTGCTGCCGGTGAAAGGTTACTCCCCTTGCACACCCAATACCCCTTGACTCCCCACTCCCCTTCACCCAGTCGTTGCCTCACACACACTCCCAGCGAGCAGCGTGCACGCCCGGGTGCCCCCCGTCCCCATCACAATCCCACCCACCGTCCGTTCGCTCTGCACTCCGCCGCACGCCTCCGCTCGTGGCTCAAGCGCCGCACTGCGCGGCTGAGACGCCGGAGGCTCAAGAGTCGGACATGCGAGGCTCAAAAGTCAGAGGTGCGCCCCTTGCGCTCCCAGTCGCCGAACCGGGTCGGCTCTGCGCGGGGGAGGAGCGGTGGCGGCGGACCGTCAGAGACGCGGCGGCGGGAGCACCGAGGGGAGCCGGGGTGGCGGGCCGGGGCGGTCGTATACGCGCACCGCTGCCCGTCGGCCCACCGATCTCGTCTGCGACGGCGGGCTGCGACTGGTCTGGTTGGGTCTGCCGGAAGCGGAGCGCGGCCTCGACCTCGGCGACCGTCTGCGCCTCGAGCTGCTTCTGCACCCGAGCCACCTCGTCCACCATCGCTCGACGCCGCGCCTCCTTGGCGGCGATCTCAGGGCTCGGTGCGGTGTCGAGCGGAGGGAGGCTGCACAGGCGGCGCACGGCCGACGCATGGGACAACCGCGGGAGGCAGGAGTGGCGGACCGCGACGGCCGCGGCGCTGGCTCGTAGCGCGGGCGGCATGGCGGATCTCTCGCTTTTCAAAGCTTTTGCGGACGTTTGGACTCGGTCGCCGTGCGCTTCGCCTGGACTCGGTCGCCGTGCGCTTTCCGTAGAGGTATCACCGAATAATAAAGAAAAACTCGCTACACAGACCTCGAGAACACCCGAGTGACACCCTCGCACCGCCCTCGGCAAAGGCCCCGGCCCGAGAGACTGGCCTGTACATGCGCCACAGCAAGAGCTCAGCTGCTGCCCGCCGTCTCCTCGGCGCTCTCTCTCCGCACTTCGAGCATGCGTGGCCATGGCCACTCGTCGTGCAAATTGTCGACGCCACCGACTTTGACTCCACGTTGATATCCGGCGAGATTGAGGCTGCCACCGCCAGCCTCGGCGCCGCGCCGACGACGTTGCTCGCTCTGACAAAGGCGAACCTGACGCCGCGGCTGGACGAGGCGGACCTGCTCTACCTGCAGTACCGTGCTCAACAGCGAGGGCCGCTGCTGCGCTGCCTCTCCGCCCACCCCGTGGCCGCAAACAGCCTCGACGGAGTGACTGAACTCGCCTCCGCCGTGCTCGCCGCCGCTCGAGGGAGCGAGGTGGTCGTGTGCGGCGCGTCGCGCGTCGGAAAGGCCTCCCTCGCTCGGGCGCTCGCCCAGCACGGCTGCGAGGTCCGCGACACGGCGCCGCTCGATCTGCCGTGGCGTACGCCCATCCTACCGCCACTCGACGGGGATACGCCCGCCCTGCTGCTACCACAGCCGCCGCTGCTCATCGAGCCGGGCCAGTCGCTGCTCATCGAGTGCGGCGGCAGCGGCGGCGGCGGCGGCGGCGGCGGCGGCGGCGGCGGCGGTGGCGGCGACGGCGGCGTGGGTGGCGGCGGTGGCGGTGGCGGAGTTGCGAACCCCGTCGTCCCGCTCGGCCGAGTGGACCTCCTCGAGGGGTGTGGCGTAGAAGCAGTGCACCTCGCTCCCCCTGCCGTCCGGGCGAGGGTGGCGCCGACGGCGGAGGCGCACTGCGCGCGCCGCGCGCGCGCGCGCGCACACACACACACACACACACACACACACACACACACACACACACACACAAACACACAAACACACACACACACACACACACACACACACACACACA